CTTTGTTGTTGTTGCTTAGAAGAAGAATCTTGATTCAAGTTTGTAATAAAGACACACACATACACATGTATACTTATATACATATATGTCCAATTGCAGATAAATAAATTAAATGTTTAAAAGAAATTATTTAAATCCATGTCATATAAGGTAGGAAAAAAAGTTTGGATGAATAGAGGAAAGTAGTTTTTATAACTTTACGAAAATTTAAAAAATGAGATTGAAGTATCCATAAAGCCAAACATATTTGAATCTTTAATTAAAAAAGCTTGAGTTCTTTTTTTTTTTCAATTCACATTTGATGTGTTACAATCTACAATCTTGCTTTTATTTTTTATTTTTTTACAATCTTGCTTGATTTTACTTTATTAGAAAATCTTGATATTGCATGAACTGAAGTTTATTCTAGTGGTCCAAATTTAAAAGCTTAAACCGAGATTTTCCGTTTTTGTACATCTTCTTATTACTTTGAATTTGTTTAGTTTCATTTCGTAGTTTTATTGCCAATTGAATAAGTGATGTTTTAGCCATATTTTGTTTTTATTCTAACAATAATATTTTGTTTTCATTAATTTACTATATTTTTTGGTAATTAATATTAGCTAGGCACATAGTATAGTATAATATATCAAACTCAAAAGGATACAAATGGACTAGTATAATTACTCATTTTCATAAATGTTTGGTTATATCTTTTTCAAACATGTTTATATAAAGGGAAATAATGATAAAATTTATAGAAACACAATTTGTTATACAAAATTACATAATCATTTCGTTTCGTTATTTTTTTTTTCCGAATGACCAATTTGATATTAAAATATTTAATATATCCGATGTAACTAGCACGGAAGAGATCTTGGAAACATGCATGCGTCAAGATAGATACCATGCGTTAGAATTAAAGATTTCTAATATTCCATAATATCCATTTAGATAATAGATTTGGAAATATCGTAATCGTGTATACAAATGATCATGCATTAAGTAAAATAATAAGAATCAAATTAGCGTATATTATTGAAATACCAACTAGAAGAGAAAAAGATGGGTAGGTGTGGGCACTCTTTATAGGTTTAGTTTGACGAGCTCATTATAAAAAGCTATATACTTTCTATACCTAAACCTACTTCGACAATACTCTTTTATTCATTTTATTTATTCTCTCCATTTTTTAATTTTGTTTTCAGTTTTGTTTTCAATTCACCTATTTTTGTTTTCGCATTTAGAAGAATCTGAAAGTGCATTAGATTGAGACTTGAGGGAACATGCATAGTATTGTTGACAGCTGGTTCCAAAGTTTGGATTCAGTGAATTTCGAAATTCTTGCAATATTATCTAGTTTCTAAAAAGATTATTGGAGATTTTTGTTTTTCTGTAAAAATTAAGGAATTGACATGATAAGAAATTCGATTTTCAAATTCCTAACATGGAAATGGAAAAAATAAGTGGGCTTATATATGTTTAAATCCAGAATAAAAGATACGAGTTTTTAGTTGCTCGACTCTTAAGAATACAAATTTATTGTAATTAAAGTACTCATTGTGCTTTGCAAAAAAAAAAAAAAGTGCTCCTTGTGCTATAATTTTTTTTTTTATTTGTTCTCGTAAGATTTTATTTAGATTTGTAGTAATATGTCTTGGTTTGTATGTAGGTGGGATCTTGATAACTATCACAATTTAGAGAATCTTTGAAATGGATCTACGTGTCCTCAAAGTTTGGTAATATTTCAGAATAAAGTATTAACGGCAGGTAATACCCGTACACGTATGCACATAATTTTGATGCTTCTAGACTCTGGTCATGCTAATTAGAATTCCCGTTTCAGTTTTTATGCGTTGATTTTTTTGTAATTAACTTATATTTATTTAAGATATGAAATAAATATA